AATTTTTAAGTCTATCTAGCATTACTCATTAAAAAAAATAATTTTTTTTATCATCTAAGTTAACGGAGTATGGACTACACACGCCCAAAATATGTTGTGGCCTTTGTTTCCATTGTTTCCCGCTATAAGAACATTGTCTAAGTGTTTAAAATACATTTTATAATATATGGTATAATTACTCAAATAGATAAGGCATCGATCCCATATCAAAAAACATGTAAGGAAAACATAAATGATTTTTGCTCTTGAAAGGGAAAAAGAGACCGACATGTTTGATTGAAATGTGTTGGTTTGTTGCCATGTTCCATTATTTTTATAGTCAAGCATAAATCATACGAAAAATCTAATTTTAAAACGTGGGTATTATAATAATTTTTTAATTTAGTTAACAACGTCAATTACTTCACTTTGATATATAATTATAAAGGGACATGTGCATAATTTTAAACGTCAAATAGCTAAGATACTTCTANCTCTATGTCCCTTCTTACTATAAAACTCTATGCGATATTCAAATTACAGAACTAAGCAGTCTGTAAAAATTAGAGCTGACATTGCCAACTTTTATGCATCTAAAATGGCAGAGAGAGAGAGAGGTTAACATTTCATCTTGTAGTAAAACAATGCTCGGCATGTGCCTCTCACAAGTCACAACTAGTTTGNAGTTAAAAAATAATTAACCCTAGTCTTAATAAAAAAGTTCAAGAGTTACAATTATAACAATATTATTAGACCACATCACTACCACGTCAATAAATTATGTTAGTTTTTTAGTTCACAATAGCATTACACTTTCTTGGCATCTTTAGTCTTTGAGTTTTGCTCCTTCCAAAAGCTAAATTGAAGAGACTAATGGCATTGAAGTCAGACTGCAAATTCACCGCTTTGAGGACGACCATGGATAATGCTATGTTTATCAATTTTTTTTATCAAACCTCCGTCTCAAATAGTGTGATATAGTTTTTCACCAATATCCCCCGCGCACTGGAAGACAAATTTATCAACCAGTGTCCTTGTCAAGAGCAGTTGTTTAAGTGAATGGAGGGTCAAAAAGCTTTTGTTTTTTCACTCAAAATCATTGAAGAAGCTTGTTTAGTGGCACTAGTAATTAGAATGATGTCTGGGTGTGTTAATTAAACAAACTAATTAATATTGGAGTCATTTGTTTTGGTTAACGGTAACAGATTAGATTATACATAATTTTATTTTATGGTAGATCACTCATTATGTAAAAGTGACGCACCCATTTATAAATAGTAGGAAGTTGAATTACATCTAAATTTTAATATCATTTTAGCAATAATAATCACTTAATTTCATCCTATGTTTTTATTCACATATGTATAATTCAGATCAAATTAGAATATGATCGGATGTTGTTATATCATAGTCCAAAATTTAAACATTTGAACCGGATGTATGTTTTGTTTTTCGTTTTCTAGTTTGTTAAAAGCAAAATTATTACCAAAGATTTTTTTTTTGTTTAAAAATTTAGAATTAACTACTTATTTGACCTTAAATTATACTGTTTGTGTCAATCAAGCACCTAAATTATGTTTTGTATCAATTTAATTAATGAACTATGTAATCTGACTCAATATGATTCTTTCGTTCAAATTCGCCGTTAACTTTGAAAGAAACATTCACATGCAAAAATGTGACTCCTAAATAAACAAAAGAAATTAAAAACTAAACAAAAAACGAACTTAAAATAAAACGTTACCAATGGAGGCCACAGAGTGTTCTACCTTATCCATTTTTTGCATTATGGCAGCAGTACTCACTTGAACTCTATCCTCAATTTTCTATGAAGTATAAAAACTCCAACACTTATGTGGTTATCTTGGAATTTTTTTTTTTAAAAAAAAATTGTCAACAGACTCATTTAATTTGACTTTTTGTTTTAGAAAATTATTGAGTTTTTCCTCCAAAAAAAATCGATATTTAGACTTTGAACCCCCCCCCCCCCAAAAAAAAAAAAAAAAAAAAAAAACCTTGAAGATATGGCTCCACCCCTCTATGTCCCTTCTTACTATAAAACTCTATGCGATATTCAAATTACAGAACTAAGCAGTCTGTAAAAATTAGAGCTGACATTGCCAACTTTTATGCATCTAAAATGGCAGAGAGAGAGAGAGGTTAACATTTCATCTTGTAGTAAAACAATGCTCGGCATGTGCCTCTCACAAGTCACAACTAGTTTGATATTGTTTTTTACATGTAAAGTCCGAATACTTAATAAAATATAGGATCTTGCATAGAGCAAATCCCAAGTTTTTAGCTGCAAAACCACTGCGTAGTCGGTCTAGAAACTAATGCAATGGAAAGGAACAATAACCATTATAAAATAAATAAGGGTAATTACATTTTCATCTCTTATTGTCTTTTTATCCTCGCCAAGACTTGAACATGTTACACCTGAATCGATTCAAATTCACTATACTTGGTGCGAATTTAATTTTTGGACGGAAATAATCAACGTATTCTATTTCACATAAAGCTATGTAGCTTATTTTGGTCATAAGATTTAAAGATTTGTACAGATGTTTCAAAACTGAAATAGTTACGTGGATGATATATTTTTTTTTAAACTAGAAAAGGGGGAGGGGCGACCAGTATGTAGTAAGTTTCTCTGAGCGTGAGCATGAGGGTTCTCTCACTATGGATTGTCCGGTTTNCCTAAATTATGTTTTGTATCAATTTAATTAATGAACTATGTAATCTGACTCAATATGATTCTTTCGTTCAAATTCGCCGTTAACTTTGAAAGAAACATTCACATGNTCCGGTTTGAGCTATAACTACTAGCCCCAGAAGGACAACACGTCACTACAGCACTACCAAAGTCAAACAACAAACTGTATTATTTCTGTAAATCAAAATATATTTGATAATCACATAAGAGTTAAGGACGACCCAAACGGGTACGATTTACCACTAGACCACTAGTTTGAGTGGTGGTTAATATGTTCAAGAAGGCAAAATGAAGTAGTGCCACAAATTAAGGGGGTAAAAGGTAATTAATCCAAATAAATAATTCTGCTTCTTTTTTCTATGTCTCTGGTGGAATAGTTAGTGTAGGAACTAAAAATGGAAGAAACACTTAGAAAATAAACAATCATTCTGTTCGAATTGTGTAATCCAAAAAATAAAATTTAATTTCTATTTAAATTCGACTCAAATATTAACCCATGTCTGATGCGGTTCAATTCGAGTTAAAAAAATTTGATCAGTTAATACTCAAATTGAAGTTCAAATAAAACTCAAACGGAATGTTTTCATATTCTTATTTAATAGCCTAAAAATGATTAAAATTTCATATTACACCCACGATAACATAAAAATGTGATAATGTGATATGGTTTAATAGAATTGAATAATATATAAATATTTGAGTATAGAAATAAGAAAATAAAAGATTATAATATAAAAAAATTATCAACACAAAGCAAAAAATAGATCAAATGAATATGCAAATAGATCACTTTATATATCCGTCAGAGAGTATTATCTCTTAACATCACACAACTATCTATAGGAGACNATGTAGCTTATTTTGGTCATAAGATTTAAAGATTTGTACAGATGTTTCAAAACTGAAATAATTACGTGGATGATATATTTTTTTTTAAACTAGAAAAGGGGGAGGGGCGACCAGTATGTAGTAAGTTTCTCTGAGCGTGAGCATGAGGGTTCTCTCACTATGGATTGTTCGGTTTGAGCTATAACTACTAGCCCCAGAAGGACAACACGTCACTACAGCACTACCAAAGTCAAACAACAAACTGTATTATTTCTGTAAATCAAAATATATTTGATAATCACATAAGAGTTAAGGACGACCCAAACGGGTACGATTTACCACTAGACCACTAGTTTGAGTGGTGGTTAATATGTTCAAGAAGGCAAAATGAAGTAGTGCCACAAATTAAGGGGGTAAAAGGTAATTAATCCAAATAAATAATTCTGCTTCTTTTTTCTATGTCTCTGGTGGAATAGTTAGTGTAGGAACTAAAAATGGAAGAAACACTTAGAAAATAAACAATCATTCTGTTCGAATTGTGTAATCCAAAAAATAAAATTTAATTTCTATTTAAATTCGACTCAAATATTAACCCATGTCTGATGCGGTTCAATCCGAGTTAAAAAAATTTGATCAGTTAATACTCAAATTGAAGTTTAAATAAAACTCAAACGGAATGTTTTCATATTCTTATTTAATAGCCTAAAAATGATTAAAATTTCATATTACACCCACGATAACATAAAAATGTGATAATGTGATATGGTTTAATAGAATTGAATAATATATAAATATTTGAGTATAGAAATAAGAAAATAAAAGATTATAATATAAAAAAATTATCAACACAAAGCAAAAAATAGATCAAATGAATATGCAAATAGATCACTTTATATATCCGTCAGAGAGTATTATCTCTTAACATCACACAACTATCTATAGGAGACATTATAACACTTAGGTCAGGGCCGAAACTAATGTCTTACCGTTTATTTTGAGGTCAAAAAGAGTAGATTTAACCTCACCGAACTGTTGTAATTGTAAAGACTCAAACACAAGTATCATGGGTGCAATCTAACAATTCTAATTCTTTCGTGGTATAAGTTGAGAATTCAAAAATTGTTTATATTCACCCATAATCCCCGCATCTCATTATTTGACCCATTATTTATGTTTCTATTTTATAAATCCACATTACATCAACTCTTACGTCAACTACCACGAAAACATAAAATTTGAACTTGACCTTTTGTACTTCAAATGATTTGCATCTACCCTTTTCTCCTCCTATCAAACAACACTTCGGAAACTCAAATGTCCCTCCAACAACCCTCTATAAAAGCAAACAGAGAAAGAGTAGTAGATACCCATTTATGCTTCACTTCCAGAGCTCAAGAACTCCAATTATTTCCACGAAACAACCAGAAACGAAATTGGGTTCTTTGTACATTGAGTTCTGCATCTTTATGTGGTGACAATGGAGAGTGGAGATATATTTAGAGTAAGTAGTGCACGAGTTAGTAGTTCTAGTGTATGGAGGAACAGTGCCAGAGAAATTTTTTCGATGTCTTCTCGTGAAGAAGACGATGAAGAAGCTCTGAAATGGGCTGCTCTTGAAAAACTTCCCACTTATCTTCGAATAAGGAGAGGCATACTGACTGAAGAAGGTGGCCAATCAAGAGAGATTGACATAGCGAATCTTGGGCCAGTGGAGAAAAAGAACTTGATGGAGAGGCTTGTGAAAATCGCAGAGGAAGATAATGAGAAGTTCTTGATGAAGCTCAAGGAACGCATTGATCGGTAATCTCAACAGAAAAATTGAAAAGAGATTGTATTTTTAACTTGTAACTGATCTGGTTCTGTGAATCTTTTGTGTTTTTTACTTGTTTGATATAATTTCTGTGTATTTTTTGTGGGTGCATTTTGAATTGGTACAGAGTCGGACTTGATCTCCCCACTATTGAAGTCCGGTTTGAGAATTTAAATGTTGATGCAGAAGCTTATGTTGGCGGCAGAGCACTGCCTACTTTATTCAACTTCTCTGTAAATATGGTTGAGGTAGTTTACAAGTTGGTATTGTCCACGAATAGTCATAAAAGTTTCTTCAATTGCAAATTAAACTCACCTTGCAATCTCTCTCTGTCAAGGGGTTCTTGAATTCTATACATGTTCTTCCAAGTCGGAAGAAACCATTACCAATACTTCATGATGTCAGTGGAATCATCAAGCCAGCCAGGTGAGAAGGCAATTCTTTTACAGTGGAGTATTATAAACTATCTTAGCACCTCATTTCTTATTTCGTTTACCGGTTTTTGCAGAATGGTATTGCTTTTAGGCCCACCAAGCTCCGGAAAAACAACATTGCTGTTGGCATTGGCTGGAAAACTTGGTTCAGATCTGAAAGTAAAGAAATGAGTCATGTATATTCAGAAATTTCTAGGAAATTGTCCGCCTTGTGATTCATAATTTGCCCTTGGAAATACAGGTTTCAGGGAGAGTAACCTACAATGGTCATGGAATGGAGGAGTTTGTTCCACAAAGGACATCTGCTTATATAAGTCAACATGATCTTCATTTGGGAGAACTGACAGTAAGAGAGACATTAGCTTTTTCAGCAAGATGCCAAGGAGTTGGAGCCCGTTATGGTGAGCAAGCTTCACCGTTGGAACGTATCATCTATTCTCTCTAGCTCTATGAGATACTTGGATCCTTTACGATGCAAATCCATTAATTTTCAAGTATCTGGTTTTTTTAATCTGATTTTGAATTCGAAATTATGCAGAAATGTTAGGAGAATTGTCAAGAAGAGAGAAAGAAGCAAACATTAAGCCAGATCCTGATGTTGATATTTATATGAAGGTGAGAAAGTATTTTTTTTGAACAGAGTGAGAAAGTAGTTGAAGATGATGGTTATACTCATTCTAACAATTATCCATAGCTGTTGTGAGAAAGCTTTATTTCCCTTTCCTTTTTTCCTTACATTTTTGGTCCCAGAATGCTCCAATGTGTATTGTTTTCACAGGCGGCATCACTTGAAGGGCAAGAGGCCAGCGTTGTAACAGATTACATTCTCAAGGTACCAACAGGAAAGTTATACTAAGCTAAGGATAGAGTACGAAAACGAAAGCATGAGAAATCTTCAATTTGCTAACATTTGCAGATTTTGGGACTTGAAATATGTGCTGATACACTGGTGGGGGATGAAATGCGAAGAGGCATTTCTGGAGGACAACGAAAGCGACTCACTACAGGTATGATAATACAACTCATTGCATTGTATAAACATATTTCTTGTNGCTATGAATCCTGTATGTGAATGTGTGTGTCTGTGTATGTCTATATTATATATATGCCAACCACCCCCCCACAACATAAAGTACACACACACACACACACACAAAAGGTGTGTATATATTCTTCTTGTTGATGTTACTACACATAAGAACTACTTTTTATCCCGTAGACGACATAAAGAAATGGTGGTTATGGGGTTATTGGGTCTCACCCATGATGTATGGGCAAAATGCAATAGCTGTGAACGAGTTCCTTGGGAAAAGCTGGAGACATGTAAGCATCACTTCCTTGAATCTTTTTCAACCAAAAGAAAAAGGGGGGAATAATATTCTGAGGTAATGCAATATAAATACTATGGCAATATCTGTTTTATAGGTTCTTCCTAATTCCACTGAACCATTAGGAGTAACAGTCCTGAAGTCTCGTGGCATTTTTCCTGAAGCACGGTGGTACTGGATTGGAATAGGAGCTCTGATTGGATATGTTTTTGTATTCAATTTCCTCTTCACTTTGGCTCTAATCTATCTCAACCGTGAGCTTCCAATTCATTCATTTTTTGAAACTTAGTTGTAATACTCCAATACAGAACTCAACAAAGCCTATGGAGTTCAACTTATCCCAATAAATGCATTAATATATGATGCAGCATTCGGAAAGCCACAGGCAATTCTATCAGAAGAAACCTTGGCTGAGAGAAATGCTAGCACAACAGGAGAGCTTATTGAAATATCGTCGAGAAGGAAGAGCTCTTCAGGTAGGTAATTGCACTTTAATGTGCTTCGTTTGCAAATTGTGTGGTTTTCTACTAACAGTCAAATTTGAAATTCACAGAAAGGGGAAGTGAAGTTCANAAAAGGTGTGTATATATTCTTCTTGTTGATGTTACTACACATAAGAACTGCTTTTTATCCCGTAGACGACATAAAGAAATGGTGGTTATGGGGTTATTGGTTCTCACCCATGATGTATGGGCAAAATGCAATAGCTGTGAACGAGTTCCTTGGGAAAAGCTGGAGACATGTAAGCATCACTTCCTTGAATCTTTTTCAACCAAAAGAAAAAGGGGGGAATAATATTCTGAGGTAATGCAATATAAATACTATGGCAATATCTGTTTTATAGGTTCTTCCTAATTCCACTGAACCATTAGGAGTAACAGTCCTGAAGTCTCGTGGCATTTTTCCTGAAGCACGGTGGTACTGGATTGGAATAGGAGCTCTGATTGGATATGTTTTTGTATTCAATTTCCTCTTCACTTTGGCTCTAATCTATCTCAACCGTGAGCTTCCAATTCATTCATTTTTTGAAACTTAGTTGTAATACTCCAATACAGAACTCAACAAAGCCTATGGAGTTCAACTTATCCCAATAAATGCATTAATATATGATGCAGCATTCGGAAAGCCACAGGCAATTCTATCAGAAGAAACCTTGGCTGAGAGAAATGCTAGCACAACAGGAGAGCTTATTGAAATATCGTCGAGAAGGAAGAGCTCTTCAGGTAGGTAATTGCACTTTAATGTGCTTCGTTTGCAAATTGTGTGGTTTTCTACTAACAGTCAAATTTGAAATTCACAGAAAGGGGAAGTGAAGTTCAAAGAAATGTATCATCCAGGTCAATGTCATCAAGAGTGGGTAACATTAGTGAAAATGACCCAAACAGGAAGCAGGGAATGGTTTTACCTTTTGAACCTCTTTCCATCACTTTTGATGATATCAGATATGCAGTTGATATGCCACAGGTATTTTTGGTTTTGAAAATGTGTTTGTGTTTGGATGGGATTGTTTCNTGGAAAGTCACAGAAAGGGGAAGTGAAGTTCAAAGAAATGTATCATCCAGGTCAATGTCATCCAGAGTGGGTAACATTAGTGCAAATGACCCAAACAGGAAGCAGGGAATGGTTTTACCTTTTGAACCTCTTTCCATCACTTTTGATGATATCAGATATGCAGTTGACATGCCACAGGTATTTTTGGTTTTGAAAATGTGTTTGTGTTTGGATGGGATTGTTTCCATGTTTGGTAAATCCTGAGTTGTATGCAGCATAAAAGCTAGCCTTATTCTTATTGTTAAATGCATATATAGCTCAGCTTCATGGTGACTAGCAATGTAATCTCCAAGTTTCATCCAAGATTTTGTTGCTATTGTTAAAGTTGATCTCCAGTTCATGATTCTAAAATTATGTTCACCCTCCATAGTTGGTAGCTTGCACATGATGAAAGTATCTCTCTGGTTGCAGGAAATGAAAACTCAGGGTGTTCCTGAAGATCAGCTAGAACTTTTGAAAGGAGTGAGTGGTGCTTTTAGGCCAGGAATTCTTACAGCTCTAATGGGTGTTAGTGGGGCTGGTAAGACTACTCTGATGGATGTCTTGGCTGGAAGAAAAACAGGGGGATATATTGAAGGAAGGATCACTATATCAGGATACCCGAAGAAGCAAGAAACATTTGCTCGCATAGCAGGTTATTGTGAGCAAACTGATATTCACTCTCCACATGTCACAGTTTACGAGTCCTTACAATATTCTGCCTGGCTTCGGTTGCCTCCTGAAGTTGACACCGCATCCAGAAAGGTGGCTTCTAATTATAAAATGCAGTATACAAACCCAGGGTGTAGTTTTTCCATATTGCATTTGACTGTAAATGTACCTGAATGTAATGCAGATGTTTGTTGAGGAGGTCATGGAGCTTGTGGAGCTGGCTCCGTTGCGGGAAGCACTAGTTGGATTGCCTGGTGTGAATGGTCTTTCAACTGAGCAGCGCAAGAGGCTGACAATTGCAGTAGAGCTAGTGGCCAACCCATCTATAATATTCATGGATGAACCAACCTCAGGCCTTGATGCTAGGGCAGCAGCAATTGTGATGAGAACAGTAAGAAACACAGTGGATACAGGACGAACTGTAGTGTGCACTATCCACCAGCCAAGCATCGATATTTTTGATGCTTTTGATGAGGTGACTAATCTTTTTCAAGGTTAAGGACCCAATAATCTCCTTCGGTTTCTAACTTTGTAAAAAATAAACTGCAGCTATTTCTATTAGAACGAGGAGGTGAAGAAATATATGTAGGTCCAGTAGGCCGCCATTCTTCCCATCTTATCGAATACTTCGAGGTAAGGGTGGACAATGCATGATATCGTCAAAGTTGCCTATATGTTCCTCAAAATTACTAAAAATATACAAATGTTTCTTAAAGGGAATCAATGGAGTTAATAAAATAAAAGATGGTTATAATCCAGCAACTTGGATGTTGGAGGTGACTTCAGCAGCACACGAAGCAGCTCTTGCTGTTAACTTTGCCGAAGTATACAAGAACTCAGAACTATATAGGTACAGTCCCGTCAAACATCATTTCCAGTTTATCTATTTCAGAAGGCCAAAATGAAATCATGAATTCAGGATTGTTAAAAATCTGCTAAATCTAAGAGCTTGAAATTATTTATTTTGAAAAAAGTATTGTCCAGATTTGAGAATTGTTTTACAATTTGTTATTGCTTTGGACGTCGGAGTACGCCTAATTTTTATTATTACAATTAATATCCTTGGATGTATGATGCAGGAGAAACAAAACAATGATTAAGGAACTCAGTACACCTGCACCAGGTTCAAAAGATCTGTATTTCCCATCTCAATATTCACAGTCCTTCCTCACCCAATGCATGGCTTGCCTATGGAAACAACACTGGTCATATTGGCGAAACCCTTCATACATTGCTGTCAGACTTATGTTCACGACTTTCATAGCTTTAATGTTTGGGACAATATTCTGGGATATTGGCTCCCTAAGGTATACAGATTGTTGGAAGCCAAAACGAATGGCGTCGATTGTTTAAAATAGGTTTTCCCATTTCTAATTCAATGTAAATTTATTCTTTGGATTCTCAGGAGAAGACAAGAAGATATCTTTAACGCAATGGGTTCTATGTATGCTGCTGTCCTTTTTATTGGTGTACAAAATTCTACATCAGTGCAGCCGGTGGTTGCTATAGAGAGAACAGTCTTTTATAGGGAAAGAGCTGCTGGGATGTATTCAGCTTTGCCATATGCTTTTGGACAGGTAAATTGCTTGTATCTTTTTTTTTTTGGGGCTAGTAAATTGTATTGATAATTTGTACACAAACAGAACCACCCAAGTGGCCAGAATGTACATCTGTAAAGTATAGTCAGTCCAGTTCTGCAAAGAGCATTACTGGAGAATTAAGAACAAAGGGAGTCTAATCTTTAAGTAGTTCTGTTGGTTGCACAGGACTTATTTTAGATTGAGCTCTACACATAAAAAAGCAATCGAAAAACAGACCACTCCTGTCAAGGTTTGTTCACAATGCTAAGCACCAGGTGAAATAATTTGCCACGTTTGCAGAAGCTGGAGATGCTGGGGGATTTCCTTTCATGTAACAGTATTCAACTCGTTGCGGACGGTATTAATGATTTCCCTGAAAATGGATTGTGCATCCTTAAACACATTCTTAAACACTCATCCATTTCTCTCCCTCCATAAGCTATACACTATCGCTGCAAGGCATAGGTTTAGGCTTTTAGTTCTAAGATATTTGCCCTCCCCCTGCTCTGCTAAAGTTTGGATTAACTGGGGCCACGCCATACTTTCACCACACTTTTGCAGAATCCTCAACCAGATATCACCTGTGAATGGACATTCAACACAGAGATGTGCATGACTTTCTTCTGCTCTTCTGCAGAAAATACAGGATGTCACCAACAACTGTCTATATCTCTTCAATAACTCATGGTACTTAGCCTTTCTCTTATAGCTAACCAAAGTATAAATCTCATATAGGTATGGACTGAGGATACTAAATGAGTTTAGACCATGCAATTCTCAGTGCAGGCCTGTTGCAAGAAATTCCAAGCTGAAAAAATAGAGTATACCCCATTTGCTATAGGCAGCCACTTTATCTTATCAGCAACTAGGTGGTTAGGTGAGTAAGAAGGCATTGAATTTTGAATTTCCATGAGCTCAGTAGACTGATTAGATGGCCAATCCCGTAGAAAACCATTGATGATTTCCTCCACCGTTGCATAAGCAGGGAAGCAAGATTCCACCACAATTCTGCTAGACCATCTGAGAAGAGGTCCTTGAGGGTGCCAATTATCATGCCACAAGCTGGCTGACTTCCCATCCCCTATCACATGCTTAATGAGGGGCCTTGCAATATTTCTAAATTTACGAAGCTTCCTCCAATTCCATGAGCACACTGGGGGGTTTCTTAACCTCCCAAAAGCTTTTCCTCTTTAAGTTGTTTGTCCTTACCCATTCTGCCCAGAGATTGGCCTTATCAGTGAACACATACCAAATATATCTAATCATCAATGCTCTGTTCCAGTCATGAAGCTTTTTAAGGTCCAATCCTCCTCCTTCTTGAGGCCTTGTAATGTCTCCCCATGCAACTTTATTTCCTCCTTTTTTGAGTTCACTTCCTGTCCATGCAACTGCTCAATTCTTTTGGGGACACCTTCGGGAAGTATGATATGGCAAAGCCAGTAGCTTTGGATGTTGTAGAGGACTGAGATTATTAATTGCTGCCTTCCTGCATAAGAGAGGCATTTTGCTGTCCAGCTTCTTCAATCCTCTTAATTAAGGCTGCACAATCCTTTGCCCTTATCTTTGGGGAGATCAATGGGATACCGAAATATTTAATGGGCAGCTGGCCATGACCAAAACCAAAACTTTGCTCAATCTGCTCACTTTGCTCTTCCATTATACCAGCTTGGTTGTTGATAAGCAACGTCCCCCAGGACCTCCTTCAATCTGTTTACAATGAGTTCAGACATGATTTTATACATGATATTGGTCTAAAGTCCCCTATGTTTGTAGGAATAGGGACTTTAGGCACCAATGCTAGAATGGTATTATTAATGCCTTTCAACAATTGTCCTGCCCTAAAAATTCCTAGACTGTCTTTAAACAATTGTCCTGCCCTAAAAAACTCCTAGATTGCTGCACAAATGTTCTTGCCTATTATAGGCCATGATGCTATAAAGAAACATCCGTTAAATCCATCTGGACCAGGGGCTTTGTTGGGGTGTATAGAAAAGACCACTTTTCTTATCTCCTCATCTCAAATTTCCCTGGTTAAGCTTATAGCCTGACTATTTGTTAGTTGTTTCCAAACAATGCTATTGAGTTCTTCCTCTCTTTCAAAATACAAGGTATTCTGTCACCAAGTAGTTGTTGATAATGATCAATTATGATCCTTTTTACTTCACCTTGTATCTTTTCTATGACACTTGTGAGTAAAAAATAGAGATCCTGTCATACATGCAGCATTTTAGATACAAAATCTTGGGTTACCAGAAATGCAAGAAAATGTGGAATATGGTGCATATTTTTTTATTTGATATCCAGCTCGAATCACTGCTGATATGAATCCTTATTTAGTAACAAATTTAGGCATGGTAAACTTAAAGCTAACTAGAAAAGATTGGAGACAGTTTCTCAATTTTTCCGTCGAATCTTAAAAATCTTATCCTCATGAGCTCTTTTTTGCTAAACAGGTCTCGATTGAGCTCCCATACGTTTTGGTTCAAACAGTCATCTACGGGGTCATTGTATACATAATGATTGGATTTGACTGGACTGTTGCCAAGTTCTTTTGGTATCTATTCTTCATGTACTTCACCTTTTTATACTTCACATTCTATGGAATGATGACCGTGGCAGTCACTCCAAACCAAAATATCGCTGCAATAGTTTCATCTGCCTTCTATGCAATTTGGAACCTTTTCTCAGGATTTATCATTCCAAAAACAGTAAGTTCCAATGATCACATAAATATCTTCAGAAATGAAATGTTATCTCACAAGCACTAAGCACATCTATTTTTCCTGTCTAACAGAGGATTCCAGTGTGGTGGAGATGGTACTATTATACATGCCCCATCTCCTGGACATTGTATGGATTAATTGCTTCACAGTTTGGAGACATTAAACACCAGCTTGACACAGGTGAAACTGTAGAACATTTTATAAGGAGTTATTTTGGGTACAGACATGACTTCATAGGATATGTTGCCATCATCATCGTCGGAATATCTGTACTATTTGGATTCATTTTTGCATACTCAATCAAGGCCTTCAATTTCCAGAAAAGATAAGAATGAGTTACAAAAATATATCATCCTGTCGTCAAAATCTGCAAAATTTTATGATGTAATATAGCTAGAGTTTTTCTCAATGTCCCTTGTAAAATACCAAGCTTTTTATTTTTTGAAATTTGTTTTCAACCTTTCTAGGTTTTGAGTCGACTACCCTTATTTTGTTACGTCATTAATCAAGTTTTGTATCAAAAAGAACCATACTTACTTGAGTCCTTGTATAATCTACGTTGTATGTAATGAATTTGATATATAAACCATTAGAAATGAGAAATTTCGAGCAGTAACTATGATATTCTTCTCACACTTGCTAGAATGCATCTAGTTTATGTTCTGTAATGCGACGTTTAGAATAAGGAATCTCTAGGGAAATATATTTCTTGTAATAATAAGGTAACTCAGTAAGATTACAGAGAAAAAAGGTCAAGTAATGTTTGGGCAACCATTGTTGTGTTGAAATTTGCTAAATCCAAAAAAGAAAGAAATAGTCTTTAGACAACGCATAACATATATGTCAAGTCTTTTTTTATTCGTTCTTTAGCGCCGCTCTTCCTATATGAGATTTAAACCTCACACACGAACAATCTTCCACTCAAGTGTGAACCACCATCAATATAAGACGATCATGTGGAATACCAATTAGTTCATTGTATCGACTAGACATGTTAATTGTCAATTAATAGCCTTTTAAGGTGATGTTTCAGATTTTCTTTCTAAAAAAAGTTAATCACCATTCCTTAACAAAGATAACCATGGGGAAGAAGTGCCATCACAGGTGTTTTACTATATTGTAGTCAGTAATTTTCTCCCCTGAGAAAGTACAGGAAATGCTGGGAAGAGTGTACTTGAGGCTGAAACGAGCTTGAATGACATGGGCACCAGGTTCATGAGTTTCTTGTCCAACAAAATTAAGTTACAATTCAATCAAGAGAGCACTAAATACCAGCTGTCCAAAGAATTGCCACCATTGACCAGATGTGGAATCAAGCCGAGTTTGTTGGGTTTAAGTATGTTTAGATTCAGTATGATTGTGATTGGTCGAACTCAACTGTTGAGTTGAGACTCTAGCTCAAGCTCGGTTAGATGGAAGTTTGCANACATGTGGAATCAAGCCGAGTTTGTTGGGTTTAAGTATGTTTAGATTCAGTATGATTGTGATTGGTTGAACTCAACTGTTGAGTTGAGACTCTAGCTCAAGCTCGGTTAGATGGAAGTTTGCAAGTATTGGGATTATCGTGTAAGATTGAGTGTTAAATGATTAATTGCTAAATTCAATAAATTAATCTTTATGGGTTCATGGGGCCGTTGTGGCTAAAAGGGCGATCTCACTATTAATTCTTTAATTTTTGTAAGAAAAAGGTAATTGCGGTAGTAATAGTTTTAAAATTGGTATTTGTCCAAACTAAAAGTTTAACAGCCTATTCTTCCTTGCACAAAATGTCGTGCAATCCACATGTACAATCGTGAGAAAAGATTATACTCGTGTTCCGAGAAGGAATCTCTCATTCTCGAAACAACAAAACAAATTAATGAAAAGATAACACAAACAAAAAACAACTTTCATTGACATTGGAGAATCAACCAAAACAAAAGAAATATATCTCTACACCATTAATTATTTTTAGCACAACATTAATATTTATGTTTTTTTTATCAATTCTTAGGTCAAATAATACTTTGCATCCTTGAAGTATGGTTTTAGTCACACTTCACCAACTATGTATTAATGGAGTGTTTAGTTTGGTCGAAAAATGGGTGGATGAAAAATGAAGGATGCAAAAATGGAGAAGAGAAAAAAGTTTTCATTGTTTGGTACTAAGAAAAAATAGGAGGGAGCAGAAAGTGGAGGGGAAATCATTCTCCTTCCCGCCCACCAAAAATTTTCAGCCCAANCCTTCACTGACGTTGGAGAATCAACCAAAACAAAGGAAATATATCTCTAGACCATTAATTATTTTTAGCACAACATTAATATTTATGTTTTTTTTATCAATTCTTAGGTCAAATAATACTTTGCATCCTTGAAGTATGGTTTTAGTCACACTTCACCAACTATGTATTAATGGAGTGTTTAGTTTGGTCGAAAAATGGGTGGATGAAAAATGAAGGATGCAAAAATGGAGAAGAGAAAAAAGTTTTCATTGTTTGGTACTAAGAAAAAATAGGAGGGAGCAGAAAGTGGAGGGGAAATCATTCTCCTTCCCGCCCACCAAAAATTTTCAGCCCAAAATTGAGCAGAAAGTGAAGCGAAAAACAGCATGCAAGACAAGCCTTGCTAATTTGACCTTTTTACCCTTTGCTATGTGCATTATTTTAGTGCGTTGTTCACACACTCAATTTTTCCCATACAACCATGTCACTCCTCAAACTAAACCAAATAAAGTGCTGCAGGGAAAAAAAAAGTAATGAATGACTATTATTCTACAAAACTATTTTTCTTTTTTTGGCACTGATCATTCTACGTAGTTTTTTTTTTTTTGTATTAAATATTCTACACAACTTCATGGTTGTAAATTACTATATTATTTTTGGCATGGATCTGTGTCATTATTTTTAGGAAAATAATATAAAAGAATTTTAAGATTTTCTAAATTTATAACGATAAAAAATTTGCATGAATTTTATATTGAGGGTATTATGGTAAATCAAATTGGTATTTATTTTCTTTTCTTTCTTTTTTCTTTAAATACTAAACAATAGAAAATTAATCCCTCTAACTTTCAATCCATCATACGAAACAAAAAGAGTGATATTTGATCAATGCTTCAAGTTAATATGGGTTTGATGATGCACAACACGGTCTTATGTAAGATCAACAGTTGAGTGTATGATGGACAATTAATAGAGCAATCAATGACAATAATGTAAATATCGGGTTAACACATAGAGATATAGTGGTTCAATCTAGGTGACTTACTCCACTTCGAAAAACGGCAATGGTGGCGAGAGGACCTTTTATTGATTGAGCAAGGTGAATGAGAGATAGAACAATGGTTAGTTCTGGGAGGGATACAATAGGTAGGAGATAGAAAAACTATGTGTGGGTATAGAAAAACTCTGTGTGGGGTGTATAGAAAAAGTTTATAATTTATAGGCATAGAGCCTTAGTTGAGACGGTGACATGAGGGTAAAAGTACCAGATTTTCAGAAACCTAAAAAATGTAAATACAATTAAAAGTTGTCTTGATCTTCGAAAGTGAGTATTCCGATAATTGTTCTCCCACTCTACTCCTTCTAGACCCCTTGAACTCTGGACTGAACAAATCCATGAATTGAGTTTGACCCACTTTGTAGCTGATTTGAACCTAGCTCATTAATTAGACCCGACCCTATTAAATTTGGGCGCGTTAGGGTTTGTTATGGTTTTCTAATAATAGAAGGGGGAAAATTCCATTACATCCTAGCGTGATTTCCCTTAAGACACCTGCGACCCATGCGCCAAAATATTTGGCTATTACGGGTGACATTCTCTAGGTGTGATGTGGCTTTCTAGAGAGTGTGAACTGTTGCTGTTATTGCGTGCACAAGGGTCTTGTAGTTGAAGATTCTCGACTTGCACACCCCGATCTAATGACCGTGAGCTGCAGAGTCCAAACTTATATGTCCTAGTTGAGTTGTTCGAGTTTAACCTTAGCTAATTTTTGGTATCATAACAAAGTATCTTACATATGTATCTCTAGGTTTAGCAAAAGAACACAATGTTCCAATGAAATTTTAGAAATGACATGCGGATTATTATTTAGTATATTTTGTGAAAATAGTTAATCAAATTGATTGATTAGTTAGATATGCGTTAAAAAAACTGGGGCTGGTGGCGTAAATTTACCATATAAATCTATGTTAGCAATGATACTTGGATTGGACTTGACTGGTCTCTCATGCAAAAGAATGAATCGTAGTGCCCTTCTGAATTGTGAAGAATGAATCGCATTGCCTTTCTAATTTACTCGGTTCAAATTACATGACCATGACAAGTGGCTCTGACTCACTGAATTCATTTGTTTATTACATTTACCTCCCTTTAGGTTTTCATAAATATCTTTTGACTCCTGCATCTTGTCTTTTCAAGAAATTATGTTTAGGGCCAGGCCTATCACAAGACCAACAAAGCCTGAGCTTTAAGCCCCATATTTCAAGAAAGCCCTAAATTTTTTATGTGTATATTTAATCTAAATCAATTATTTTTAAATTTATAAGATTTTAGGCCTTAAAAAAAATCCTATGAAAATTTAAACTCAATCAAAAATAAATTTGAATAGTTTGGGCTCATAAACTCAACCCATAATATTAAAAATATACTAAAATAAACTTTTTAGAAAAAAAAAGACACAGGGTAAAAAAATAATTTTAACTAGTCAACTAATACACACTATTAATTTGTAATCATTCTCTCTCTAGTAAGCTAAGGCCCTTTCTCTCACTCACTCTCTAATAAATACAAATTCTCTTCTCTTCTTTTTTTTTGTTATTTTTTTTATTTCTATTACAAAAAATAAACCAAAATATTTTTTCTATTAAACTATAAAAATTAAAATCAGTAAATTATGATTGTTTAAAATTAAAATTAATAAAATCTTCCTTAAGATCTATTATCACAATAAAGCTTAGACTGCTTTTAATCTAAAAATAATAATTTTTAAATAAAAATTATTATTATTAAAAATAAAAAATCTCATTTGTAATAAACGCTTTAAGCCTCAAATAATTTTGGACCGCCCCTGCTGATGTTTTATTATATGATGTCTTTCACAAAGATAGGGTTCACTGGGTCTTGTGGGTTGGGTCTTTGCATACTTGAAGCTCAGGTTAATTTATGCAAATATGGCTTGAGGGTGGACTGTTTTTTCCACCATCAATAATCAGGCTGTGTAACCACAAATGAGTCTCTGTCTTGTTTCGCAATAAAGAGAGAAGAGACCATAGGTCAATGTTCGGGCACTTTATCATCTTCCCACGACCGACACCACCATTCGCCACCCCTTAACACCCCGTCACCCACC